GGCTGGATTATTCTAGTTTCATCATTTTGTAAGGTTTTTTATAGCCTCTCTTTCTCTTCTATTAAAATTATACTTATTGTCAGGTGTTTTCTCAGGGCCGTCTTTAACGCGGGGCAAACGGGGCAGCTGCCCGGGGCCCAGTTTCTCTTGGGGGGCCCGAGGCACCTGCCCCGTGGGCCCCGCTGACCCCGGCGGGCGGGCGGCCGGTCGGGCAGGAAGGCGGGCGCGCGAGGGAGCACTCACTGCTTCCTCTTCAGCTCCCTCGCGCACCGCATTGATGCCGGAGCCGGAAGATGACGTCATCTTCCGGCGCCGGCATCCCTACGCAGCGCGCGAGGGAGCTGAAGAGGAAGCAGTGAGTGCTCCCTCGCGCGCCCGCCTTCCTGCCCGACCGGCCACCCACCCAGGAGCCCAGCAGCACCACTGGACCCCAGGGAATCCCCCCAGCACTCCAAAAGGTAAGGAGGCTGGGGGGATTACATTTTAAAAAAAAATGTGTGTTTGTGTGTGTTAGTGTTTGTGTGTTAGTGTGTGTGTTTGTGTGTGTTAGTGTATGTGTTTGTGTGTTAGTGTATGTGTGTGTTAGTGTATGTATGTGTGTGTTTATGTGTGTTAGTGTGTGTGTTTGTGTGTTAGTGTATGTGTGTTAGTGTATGTGTTTGTGTATGTGTGTTAGTGTGTGTGTATGTGTGTTAGTGTATGTGTGTTAGTGTATGTGTGTTAGTGTGTGTGTGTGTTAGTGTGTGTTAGTGTATGTGTGTTAGTGGGTGTGTTTGTGTGTTAGTGTATGTGTGTGTTAGTGTATCTGTGTGTTAGTGTATGTGTGTGTGTTAGTGTATGTGTGTGTCAGCATGTCTGTGTGTGTGTCAGTATGTCTGTGTGTGTATGTCAGTATGTCTGTCTGTCTGTGTGTCAGTATATATGTGTGTGTATATCTGTGTGTGTCAGTATGTTTATGTGTCAGTATGTCTGTCAGTGCGTCAGTATGTCTGTTAGTGCATGTGTATGCATGTGTCAGTATATCTGTCTGTGTGCCAGTATGTCTGTGTGTGTGTGTGTGTCAGTATATCAGTCTGTGTGTGTCAGTGTATGTGCCTGTGTGTGCGTGTCAGTATTTCTCAGTGTATGTGGGTGTCAGTATATCTGTCAGTGTGTGGGTGTCAGTATTTCTGTCAGTGTATGTGTGTCAGTATGTTGATCAGTGTATGTGTCTGTGTGTGTGTGTCAGTATGTCAGTGTATGTGTCTGTGTGTGTGTGTCAGTATGTCGGTATATGTGTCTGTGTGTCAGTATGTCGGTATATGTGTCTGTGTGTCAGTATGTCTGTATATGTGCCTGTGTCAGTATGTCTGTCAGTACGCCTACCAGTGTATGTGTCTGTGTGTGTGTCAATATATGTACCTGTGTCAGTGTGTCTGTCAGTGTATGTGCCTGTTTATCTGTATGTAGTCAGTGTATGTATCTGTGTATCTGCTTGTGCGTCAGAGTGTGTACCTGTGCATCTGAGCCGCAACTTTAAATACAAATACACCCCTCCATTCAAACTTCAACACTACATATAAAACACACTCCTGCATTGAAACGCCAACACTACATACAAGCACACTCCTACATTCAAAAACAAACACTACACATAAATGCACACTTGCATTCAAACTCCAGTACCACATACAAAACACATTCACACAAACATACTCCATACAAACACATGCTTACATTCAAACATACTAACATGGCTCAGTGCTAAATACAACCCTGCAAGCATGGGAAATTGGTAGAGTCCCAGCTGTCAAAGCATTGTTGAGTTGCACGACAGATGGGGTTCTACCTTTAGTCCAACCTTGCAATTGGGGGTCCCAATAAAATTCATTCTACTTTAGTACCGCCACTGCGTTGGGATGGATGCCGTGATTGCATACCAGGGAGTGAGGGGCGAGAGCGGCAGGGCACAGGGGGCCCAAGCAAACACTTGCCCAGGGTCCATTCGTTATTAAAGACGGCCCTGTGTTTTCTATTTAAAGTATCAATGTCTTTAAGAACTTTTTTCTCAAAAATTTCCAAAGCACTAGAGTTAAAATAGGATGGATAGAAGGTAGATTTCCTTTTTTAAAACCTTTTTTTTTAATAAAATTTTGTCCATCTTCTTCAATATTGTGTGTAGTTTCTTTCGTATTCTCGTTTTAAAGTGGCATTTCTCACAAATTTGTTAATATCAATATATGCTAGAAAAGGATTAAACGTCTTAGTGGAGGCGAATTTTAACCCTTTTCTTAAGACACTAAGTTTTGTTTCACTTAAAATTCTCTTTGATAAATTAAAAATTGTCTGTATTTTTTAAAATCTCTCTATTCTTCCTTTTTTATATATATTGTTTGTATATGTGTGTGTGTGTGTGTGTGTGTGTGTGTGTGTATATATATTGTAGCTGAGTGCTAATTTAACATTTTTCTTTTCTCCGCTAATATTCCAAGAGTTACTCAGGAACAAGCAGGATATCATAAGAAGAACAGCATAAGCATAATAAAGTAATCGACGAATATCCCATCACCCTTTCCCAATAACTGGACGACACTCAGTATCAGGAGCAGAACTGATTTTTAATGACACACCCTTTGCTTTTATGCAATCCTCCCATGCAAGGGAGACACCCACAGAAAATTAGGAATTACCCAATCACTTGCTGGATACAGTACACATGATTCCTCCCCTTAGCCTGAGAGATAACTTAATTATCTATACAGTTTCAGCACACAATTTCCCCCAATTCCTGGATGAACCCCAAGACTATAACTTATACCCATAAATTACATATCACCTGATAGCCCCGATCTGGGTGAGCAACATACTGAAAAATCACCCAGATCGGTTCAGGGGTTCGTGAATTTCCTGGAGGTCTTCTTTTCATCTTTCCATACGACCGCACACGAGGTGTTAGCTGAAGAGAGTTACATGTGTTTTGGCCTTGCGGTCAGTCTCTGTTCGTGAGGTGAAAAGCACAAAATTGTTGAATATACTGGGCTCTGCCTGGGTTCGTATGATTCCCCTCGTTTGCATGATTACACCGAACGCCGAACGGTGGAAGTATGGAGATCTCTGCGGTGTTCGCATGGTCAAGTGTCCGATTTGGGTTCCAGACACTCGACGACCAAACACTGCTGGTGTGTTCGTATGGAAAGATGGACGCCGCCACATGTTCGTATGCCAAACGGCGGCCACCCAGGGAAATACACAGTGCATTTGTATAATTGTCAATTGAGGTAATGTAAAGAACGATAAGGGAGGTCAATTAGTGCCACGCCCCACTCCAGGGTGGCCTGGTTGTTCAGTATTTTGTTCGTTTGTCAAATGGTACAACTTCAGATGTTTCAAAGTATATTTTTACCGATCAACCAGACGAATGACACAACAGGTAGGGGTTTACTTGGTTCTTTTACCAGTTTATTGAACCGTTGGGAATAGAATAAAATACTTCAACAATTAGGAGTAGGGACAGCCAACAATACAATGATGAGTAGCCACACACAGTCCTATATATATATATATAAAAAAAATACAAAAATACAAAATACCCCTGCACTCCAACTAGAGAAATAAAAATAGTATCTGGTACTCTGGTGGCTTAATCATAAACAAAGTGAAAATACCGGCACTCAAGGTTTTCCAGAAGATAACTTCTCCATTTATTGCGGAAAAAAAATTTGACGTTTCAGCTCCACTGGGGAGCTTTCATCATCAGGTGTCATCATTAGGCGTCTAATTCTATCCACCCCCAGGCATTGGGCAACACTCAGTCCTGGGAGCTCTAGTCCTTCCAAGGAATTTCCCTGTTGAATCCTCCACACTGGAACAGTGATTAGTGATTAGCCCTTTCCCCTCCGAGTAACCAGACGACACATAGTTCTGGGAGTACAAGCTGGAATGGTTTAATCTGGCCAGATGGCCTGCTTTTATACATTTCTGGACACAGTCAAACACGCCCATGACACTCCCACAGAAAACAGGGTAATCCCTCCCCTGTGCCAGAGAATTTAATGTGCAAGTCCTATATTGACCCTGTAACTTTCCAAAACACCATAAAACCTGAACATGGGGGGGTATTGTTATACTCGGAGACTTCGCTGAACACAAATACAGGTGATACTCAAAACATTAGAATATCGTGCAAAATTTAATTTATTTCAGTAAAGCAAAGTAAAAGGAGAAACTAATATATGAGATAGACGCATTACATGCAAAGCCAGATAGTTCAAGCCATGATTTGTCATAAGTACGATGATTATGGCTTACAGCTCATGAAATACCCAAATTTTTGCACGATGTTCTAATTTTTCGAGTATCACCCGTATGTGTGTTATAAAACAGTAAAAGTTATCACGAAGATGATATCACCAGTAAAAGTGCAGTTTTTGTGTAAAAAAAATGCAAAAAAAGTAATATGAATGCTAACTTTGGCCAGCGTTTGTGACTAAGTGGCAACTAAAAAACACTGGACATACCCCATTTTGAATAGCCTGGTATGCCATGATGGCGTTAATTTTCATTCTGCCATACAATCCCAAAGGCAGCATAGGCCCAGCAAACCAACCTGGCAAATCTCAATGGAAAAAGGGAAAGCCCTATATTTGACCCCTGTAAGTTTCCAAAAACCATAAAACCTGTACAAGGGGGGTAATGTGGTACTTGTGAGACATCGCTAAATATGAATATGTGTATTTTATTGCAGTAAAATCTAAGAATATTATGACATTCCCAGTTAAAATGTCACGTAGAACTTGAAAAATAATACATTTTCTTAATTTCTCATACTTTGTTATATTTTAATCACATTCAATTATGTTTCATATATAAATATGTGATAAGAAATGAATGCCCTGTTTCTCTTGAACAAAATTAAGTATAATATGTGTGGGTGTACTTAATATGGTGAGGTGAATTATAGTTATTATTATTATTATTATGATGTTTATTTAGCGCCATCAAATTCCGCAGCGCTTTACAATGGGTGGACGAACAGACATGTAGTTGTAACCAGACAAGTTGGACACACAGTAACAGAGGGATTGAGGGCCCCGCTCAGTGAGTTTACATGTTAGAGGGAGTGGGGTATAGTGACACAGTAACAGAGGGATTGAGGGCCCTGCTCAATGAGTTTACATGTTAGAGGGAGTGGGGTATAGTGACACAGTAACAGAGGGATTGAGGGCCTGCTCAGTGAGTTTACATGTTAGAGGGAGTGGGGTATAGTGACACAGTAACAGAGGGATTGAGGGCCTGCTCAGTGAGTTTACATGTTAGAGGGAGTGGGGTATAGTGACACAGTAACAGAGGGATTGAGGGCCCGCTCAGTGAGTTTACATGTTAGAGGGAGTGGGGTATAGTGACACAGTAACAGAGGGACTGAGGGCCCTGCTCAGTGAGTTTACATGTTAGAGAGAGTGGGGTATAGTGACACAGTAACAGAGGGATTGAAGGTCCTGCTCAGTGAGTTTACATGTTAGAGGGAGTGGGGTATAGTGAAAGTAACAGAGGGATTGAGGGTCTGCTCAGTGAGTTTACATGTTAGAGGGAGTGGGGTATAGTGACACAGTAACAGAGGGATTGAGGGCCCTGCTCAGTGAGTTTACATGTTAGAGGGAGTGGGGTATAGTGACAGTAACAGAGGGATTGAGGGCAGGCTCAGTGAGTTTACATGTTAGAGGGAGTGGGGTATAGTGACACAGTAACAGAGGGATTGAGGGCCTGCTCAGTGAGTTTACATGTTAGAGGAGGTGGGGTATAGTGACACAGTAACAGGGGGATTGAGGGCCTGCTCAGTGAGTT